AGGCCATCGTTTATTTCTGCACGTTTGTACTCAGCAGAGGCGGATCCAGCTCAGAGTTTTTTTTGGGGGGGGGGGGGCAAACCATAACAATTTATCGATTCTTTCCATGCATCGTCCGTAGGCGTAATGTTAAAATTATGCCACTTTGGGGGGGGGGGGGGCAAATGCCCTGTGGCGCGGCGCGTATTATTTAGCTGCGGCGTGTCCGTCCAGCACGGCCGCCCTTTGCGCCGCCAATCGCCGCCTCGCGCAGTGTTTATGTTATTTTTCATGAACGTTTGTTGTCCTCTTTTATATTATTGTAAATTCATTATTATCGTCACTTCTGTTTTAAAGTTTTTAACCGTATTTAATATCTGTCCTTGCTTTAATTTGTTGTAATTACTAGATTGACTTTTCGCCGTTTCCATATGCTCGATTCGTTTTTGATTATGTAAAAAAGTGTTTTAATTTTTGGCTTTGTAGTTCCGCCCCCGTTGACTTCCTGTTCGTTTTGATCTCTATGGTTTTTGGCACGTGTCTGAGTTCGAATATAAATTTAGTATCCGTACGCAGAGTGTCAGAGAGGCTGAGTATTTCGACGAGTTCCTAGTTTTATTTCTCACGTTTTTCTCCCAGTTTTAACCCATATCTAACCATCGTTTCGCTGTTTATTTCGTTCTTTCATTGTGGGTAATTTCCTTTCTTCCGAACACGCACCTATATACCCTGAGACCCACATTCTGGTGACCCCGACGTGATCAGGGCCTCGTTTCATAAAACGAGTCCGTACTTTACTCCGGTTTTTGGGCTTGTATTGCAAGCGCATGTGAAGCGATAAATTTATTTCCCCTTCTCCCTTCTGTTCTTGCTTGCAAGATAATTCAACGATTCAAACTATCGTCATCGCTTCACATGCGCTTGCAATACAAGACCAAAAACCGGCGTAAGTTACGGACTCGCTTTATGAAACGGGGCCCTGAACACGCAACCTTCTGATTTTGCCCCCCTGGATCCGCCACTGGTACTCAGTGAAACGTCTCAGTTTTATTTCGTGTGTCGACAAATTGTTCTCATGTTCTGATGAAGGTGCAAGTCGAAATATATTAATTTGTGTTTTTCTTTTGAATGTAATTACGAATATGAGCATAAGGTTATTAATAGCATGCCTAATAATTACATTCATAATGCTCAAAAGTGCCTAGCAAGATTACAAGTTCATTTTAGTTGGAAACAACCATTCTGGTATGCAAAATTAAGTATAAAGCCCATTATGGTGACAATCTAGTATCCTTCAAAGGTCGAGTATCTGATATCAACACGAGTTGTTTACTATTCTGTCTCACGTTGCTAGGTGGTTGCTAGGGAGCTAAAGATACTCTCTTGCGCTATCATTTGTACTTAGTTTCGTCACTATATCGACATGTTGCTGTTTCTGAGACCTAATTCACGCTGATAAAATAGCATTTTTCTTGAAATGTGTATTTGAATGCCGTAGTATGAACAAAGCTCTGCCATTCTACTCAAATATCTGCATTATCCTGACTTCCCGGAAAATTGTTGGTGGTGATGGGGATTGAACCCGTCGATTAAAAGTAAGTCAATATTCAAAGGCCTAAAAACGTCATTTCTTGTGGTTCTATGAAATTGCAATGCAAAGGCTGATGATTGCACCAGTGTTGAGCTTTCAAATGAAGCATTGCAATTAATCGTATGATAATTAGAACCGAAGAAATCTGTCATAAAACACAATAATTATGCCATTGTCTTGCTGTCAATCAATCAATCAATCAATCAATCATGTATTGAGTCCTCCATGTGAATGGTTTTTCAGTGCTCTTGTCATACAATCATTCACAATCTATAAAACTACAAGTGGGTATAAAACACACATCAATAAGAATGACGCACAGTATAAAAGTAAAGAGAATTGTCTGTACCAGTAAGATACTCAGATGGCAAAATGTGAAGTTAAGAATGCACAATACGCGGGTAAAAAGTAGACAAAGTAAATAAAAGTGAGCAGCGCAAAAAAAATCATCACAAAATACATCACAGCTTGTTTGCCTGAAAGCTGTAGAACGGGGTTACTTTCAGTCTCTTGGGAACACGATATGCCGGTCTCAGTCGAAAAACACTTCAAAAAGCGGCAATAGACAATTAAATTTCCAGATAATTTCCGAGATAGTATCTCGTTTTTTCTGTATCTGGTTATGTATCTTCATGAAACCCTCTGAAATACAGTCATTTTAGCATTAAAGTCTATGGATTTAGAAGAATTTTCATATCCGACTAGATTTGGGCTGTTGATTATGATTGCAAATGATTGCAAATGAGATGATATGTTGATTACAGGGTTTCGGAGTCGTGGTAGCGCTGTTCCGTCTCCGACTCCCACTCCGACTCCGGGCTCCTGACCGACTCCGACTCCGACTCCGACTCCGACTCCGGGTCTGATACGAATGGCAATGGCGGCCGCCAAAATTTTGCGTGATATGACGCCACATGCTAGGTCTACGTGCACGGGGAGAACGCCCCTACACTCCGGTTTCCTTCATGCACTCACCATTTCTCCCACGTGGACGCAGCTGAATCCACAAAAGGTCAGCGGTCAGCGTGGAAACCCGCCGAGAAGCACGAGAGGCGGCCGTATCACGAACACGAGCATCGCCATCATGTTGGTCATTCCTATGTGTTGATACTTTTCGGAGCATAAACGAAGAAAATAAGAATACATTTAGTCTTTGACTCTTCAAATACTTAATATAGTGGAAGTTATAACAGGCATGCAAAATACTTGGCTACTTAATTATGATATAACTTGAAACTTGTAAGATCCAATGTTTGTCATTTAGAACAAAAACAAGATGAGTGCAATTTTTATCGCCGGAAGCGAATTCTACCGCGGGCAACTGGTAAGGTAAGAAAAAACTGAAAAGTGATGTCACAGATTCTAGTTATTTTCCGGAGTCGGAGTCAAGGCAGCTTGACCGACTCCGGCTCCGACTCCGACTCCTGGCTGCTTGCCACGACTCCGGGCGACTCCGACTCCGACTCCGACTCCGACTCCGAAACCCTGGTTGATTATGACAACAGACTGTAGATTAGTCTGTTGACCGGGGGCCGGATGGAATCGATTTTTTTTTTTTTTTTTGTCGACAATTGTTCCTGTTCATTCTGAATATGGCGCAAGAAGATGAAGATGAAGATGAAGTTGAAAATGAAGATGGCGCTCGGTCATTCTTTACAGAGCAAGAAGCAGCGCATTACCACTAGGAGAAAGGAACCGTCACAAAAACGACACACACACACACACACACCCCCACGCACACGCACACGCACACGCACACGCACACGCACACGCAAGGGGTGCCGTTGCGAAGGCGATACCCCGAAGACATCATCTACATCTACATCTAAGCCGAAACATATCAATGATTTTGTTTAATTATTCAATTTCAACAAAAAAAGTGCAAAGAATGAGCATAAGGTACATACTTTTTTACTTATGATGATGCTCAAAGATACCATTGCTCGCCAGTACAACAAATCAGTAATTATCGATTACCTGCTTTCTTGTCCACTAATGGAAAAAATGATTTTTATGCAGGAAAAACTGATAAAAAATAAACACTGCTTTTGACCGTGATGCGCATTATTTGTCGAATTTCCCAAAAGACGCTCGCTTTCGACATTTCAGTGAGGTTACCATATCCTCATAACGGCATTTCAATGCAGTGCATTTCTCAATTTATCATATTCTTGTTCCATGACACGGAACAAAAGTAAGGGTAGAATAAAGATTGAAATAGACTTGCAATCGGTTCAAATTAGGTATGGCGTCGTAGATTGTTCAATTCTGATTGTTTTTATGACACATTTTTATATTTTTATGGACGTTTTCATATAGTTTTATTGAAACGCCGTGACCATGCTTCGTCACGGAACAAATCACTGAACTTGGAACGTTAAAGCAATTCCGACTTAATTATATAAAAAATGGGTATCATTAGAATCGTTGAGAGACGGCGCTTTGCATAGCATAAAACCATTGCCCAGTTGATGCCGATTACAGGTAAAATACCGACATATGCTGATGTCACTTTTACATGAAGTAATGTTTGTCTAGGGCATAAATCCCTTTGCTTTTTAATATAGTATTTAGAATGAAACAGCCAGCTTGAGGTCAAATCTTCATTTATTTTTGATTATTTTTGCATTTGATATGCTATTTTGGGGTATTCATCAATTTTAATAAAGAGGCATCTATCTAAAATTTGGTATGTGAATAGAATTTGGTAAGGTCCATCAGATGTATTTCTTTTTTTCGTAAATCGAAAAACTTTTTGAATTGTTTGGCAATTATATTAATTTTTTTTGGTCAAAATTCAAAAAATTCAAAATTTCGAGATAGCAGTTTTGTAACCCTGCTAATTCTACACCTTTTATGTCTTGAACGTTTTTCTGTATCTTCAAAGGTAGGCTGTCTTTAGGTCAGAGCTGTCAAATAGGCCTGACAGCTCTTCCCGCGAAACCTTTTTTTGGGTCGAAAACGGCAGAACATGACGTCACTCTGACGTCATATCATTATCATATCACTCTGCCAACCTATCATAGTCTTTGGAACAAAATTTGGTCACAATGTGTAACATTGATGCCCGGGAGGGCACTGAAAGTTTGGTGACGATCGGCGCAGCGGTTCTGGAGATATATCGTAAAGTCTGTGGGAGGGGGCAAAAAATAGCCCCCCCCCCCCCACCAGAGTGCGGGTTAAAGGTATCCCAGTCATACATATTGCCGCCCCTGGCAAGTGGAAAGATGGCGTCTCTATGCCATTGGTCCATGTCGAAAGAAAATAATGAATACACATGTGCTTTTGATTCCTTTTAAGACCAATGACTTATGCGTAAATTTCTAGCGCATTTCCGGGCGACTGGCCCATCGTGGCCTGTTGTGGTGCCACAGTGGAGCTTCTGTTCTGTACCGGCGCTGTGACGGCTTCCCTTGTCCTACACCGGCAGGAGACACCTTCAGCGTGGTGGCGCGCCAGGGAGCGATCGAGACCGTATGGTGTCTGGTGGACGCACTCTGGATGGACGTGCTGCCCTACCTGGTGCTGCTGGTGGTGCCCGTACTAGGTACGTCTGGTGTTGTCCTATCAATCCGCGCCCTCCTGGGGGGGGGGGGGATGAGCACACACCTGCGGTTTTCGCGAATATCTAAAAAACGGCGAGGCACAATACCCGAAGATGCCTCTTTCTAACAAACCCAAAACAAACCCAACCTAACCAGACCTAACCTAGCCTTCAAACTACAATCTACCACCTACCACATAGGGTAAGGGCGGGTAAGAGGACGCGGGCGATAAGAGTACGCATCATCTGTTTCGGTTGCCTAGCAACGCGGGTTTGTCGAGTTCATGAAGTGACATGAAGCCGCCAGCAGTGTCAGAAAAGTGGTTTGGGGATCTAAGTTCGCAGACTAAAATTTTGAAAAGGTCGAAGAACAAAGTTGGATCTTAGCTAGGTTCCAAATTTTTAATGCAGCTACTGCATTATATCAGTTTCTTTTTGGCATAATGGGCAGATATTGTTGAAATGCAGCACATATCAAAGTGAAACACCTGCACATGACCAACATGCAATGGTAATCATTAAGCAGGCACCTCACGAGATGCCAGATCTGTCTACGATAGCAATGTAGGTTGTAGGTTGTAGGTGTTAGGCTTGTAGGTTGTAGGCTAGTAGGTAAGGTTAGGTCGGGTTAGATTATGTTTCAGATCTGGCATCTCGTGAGACGCCTGCTTAATGAATCCCCATGCAATCTTGTATCTACTTAATAGGCAGGTAGCTTACATTGCCATTGCTCAGGTATAATGATGCATACCTATATAAATATTAATATTCACATTTGCCTAATTTTAACAAGGGAAATCCAACAACATCATAACTAAATGCAAGAAAACAATCTGAACCCACCAGAAGGCTACTAATGTGAAAGCAGCTACCCTTGGATATCACTTTCTTAGCCTAGGTAGAAGTGAAGGTATAATCAAGAAGGGAGAAGTTAAGACAAACTGAAACACATGGTTTATGTTAAGTATTACCATTACCTGAGCTTGTTACAAAAATAGACATGAACAATCCCACCTCAGATTCCTTGAACGAAGATGGTCGAAGTCGAATGAGTCTCAGTATCTCAGCCTTTAAACAAAAATCATATTGTTGAGTATGAAAAAACGAGAAAAATTGCACATAAACATTTAACTATTAAATTACCCCACGAAATTATACTTCTTTACAATAACTCACGCAAATTGCGAGACTAACCCGGCGCAGTCGCGTAAAAGCGCGCGGAGACGCGCCAGACAGCGCTGCCTAGTCTGAGAATGTATTTATTTTTTAAAAAGTATTTGTTGCTAGTTAAGTTCATTGCCGAATGACAAAAACGATTTCGATGTTCAATTTATTTTAATACAAAATTTAATGAATAATATGCTGCACAAAATAATGCCTTCGGTCGATTTATTACAAGTTAAGATATCTTACTGCCATGAGTTCGAGAAAAATAAAAAAGTCATTTTTTTGTGTAATTTAGATGGGAAAAGGGCATCAAAAAGACAATAACTGTTTATTTTGTTCATTTTAATATCATTCACAAAAAATTTTGCCATAAATTCGTCCAAGTTCTCTTATGCCGGCACCAAAAAGGCGATACCTCAAAAGACGCTGTCACTTATTATCCCCATACGCATTTTTTTGCTCATTTTTACGAAACAAAAACTATTCTATAACTTTTTCCAATCAATTTCCATTCTAGCCATAACTTGTTTTGCAATGAATGATGTCTAGGTGTCTTAAACGATCCAAGTGAAGCTGACCTTAGCAGGCACGGAACGACCCCGCAGACTATCGTAAAATATGGGCATCACACGTTATGAAATTGCTAAATTTTGACATTTTTGAAAAGAAAAATCTTTTTTACATCTACTGATATCATTTTTTCATACTTTACTGCAATTGGGAACTTTTACCAGGGGATAGTCTGCCACCACGGAAACACCAAATATGTTCTGCGAGAACTCAGAAAAAGTTTGCGCCCGGTTGCGTTATGAAGGGAGCCGGGCGGGGAGCGAGCTTGTTGGTGCGGCGATGGCAGTGTTTTAGACGTCAAAAGGCCAAGGCTTATGACTCGTCTCCCATGACTCGCGTGTTATTTTTGTGATTTGTTTGGTACCTTCGTTTGATTTGTGTGAGAATGTGATTTTAAAGGTAGGATAGGTTGTGCTGATATATGTATTATGGGTAATATGCTTATCCAGTACCCATAATTTTCTGATAGCATTTAGGTACTACTCACTAGCTTGGTATATGTGTCATTTCTCAGAACAGTGTACATGTAAATTAATCAAGCTGAGGTTTTCAGGTTTATCTCACCTGACTACGTAAAGTTTGCATATCCATTTGGGGCATTGCCCATTTACTACTCACTAGCTTGGTAGTGTTGTTTCTCAGACCAGTGTACGTGTAAATTAATCAAGCTTTTCAGGTTTATCTCACCTGACTACGTTATTAACTTGAAGTTTGAACTGCTGTTGCCTGTCAGTTAATTTTTTAAGCATTCACTACTTTGTAGGCACTGCATGCTAATATGGATATGAAATCGAGCTTTTCAGGTTTATCTCACCTGATTACGTTAAGTTTGCATATCCATTGGGGCATTGCCCATTTCCAGCTCCTGCATGCTGTGTCAGTGTAGTCCTTCATTCATATCATACGTGTTGAACCAGATGTTAAAAGAGTGACAAAATTTTCAACATTTGTATTATAAAATACAGGATTAATTGTTAATGCACACACTGTGTGATCACAATTCACAGATCACCTGTTCATAACACATCACAGTTGATGGGCTTCAGGCTGCCGATCAAATACCAGTTATATCTATCAATCTAATATCAGTGAAAGTTTTGCCAACAGCTGTCAGCTGGTGAACCAAGAGTAGCAGGCGGTGCTGGTTCTTGGGAGTAGGTCAGTAGTTTGTACTGCATTCTATTCAGGAGTCCAGGTCTTCATTCAGTAGCCATGGAGACTGGAGAGAGATGACTTGATCTGCTGAAGAAGAAAAATCAGTCAAAATGGGTAGGCAGTTGGGTTTTTATTAAGTGACCCATTGTGAAATGCTCCATCAAGCCTGATAATGCTGACATAGATGGGTAGAGGTACTTTGTTGCACAGAAATCATCTGTTTAGGGAACGTTTGCTCACAGAACAAAAATTGCTTTTCTTTAGTCAAGACTTTTCGCAGAACAAATCTTCCGAGTTCAAGAAAACTTAGAAACGGGCCACTTTTCTGACACTGGCCGCCAGTACGTGTTTGTCACCGACGGAACGTGTACGTTTTGCGGCGACGCTGTTGAGTTTAAGGCGATAAATATTATTTTGGAGCGTTATGATATTATTATGGTATGGTACCGTAAACGGGGGTGACTTTGCCTTGCGGGGTGACTTTGCCATGCTTCTCGAAAAAGCCTTTAGGGAGATCTCCATTGATATTTCACGAAGAATGTAATACTTTTTTATGCACGCATGAAGATAATTGATGGGCCTTCCAATATAACCAACACTGAGAGATAAGTTACCACTAAATGCCTAACTGGGCTCCATTTTATTGCAGTCATTGAAATGGTCAAATTTGAAAAGGTCAGAACTTTTTATTATCTAACCATGTTTCAGACGAACTGCGATGCTGAAACTTGGTATGGCTGATCATGACAATGCTGTTTAGTTAGCATATCCAACAAAATTGGCATTTGTCACTTCATTTAGCTAAAATTTTTGGTGGAGATTTTTCCAAGTGAATCGCAGGCCATATGGGATGACTTTGCTACCATGCTATCAATGCAAAAATGAAATACTTATCCGATGCAATTTAAGATAATTTTTTAAGGTAGCATCACTTTGACCTCCAAATTTGTTTTTAGAAAGTAAAAGTTTATATATTGGAAATTGACACAGGAATGCACAGTGGTAGTATAGAAAAGCAAAAATTACCAAAATGAAAAAAATGTATGAAGCTGGGCCCAATTTTTCAGCACAGCCAAGATCATTGACATTTCCTGAGTTGGCCAGTATGACTAGCTGAAGAAATATGTACCATTTTATTGATCAAAACGCTGATAAAAAGGGTGCCGGAAAGTTGCCGCAAGAACGTCCTCTTTCTCTTCCTCTGAATGCCGCTGGAAGAAAGCGGCAAGGTCCTAGAGTACCGATACAATCATCTTTATGCTTATTTATCTATTCTGAACCATTTTTCAGTTTCTATATAGGTACTATAAAATGTCAATATTTTCAACAAGTATAATGTATTATAAAAAGTAATGTATCTCTCCTTTTGTGCATCATTTAAGAGCAAAAAACCTCAAATTGCTTTATATTTTTCCCATTAAGCAATTAAGGATGGCTGCCCTTCCCCATACAACTGAAAAGAAATGCTTGAGAAATATTTGTTAGCGTTAAAAACCTTATTTGGCATAGTGGCAAAGTCATTAAGCCTACCAACTCGGGCATAGTGCTGCATTTCTCTTCAGCTCATCCGTCCTCGACCAAAATTAGCATGGCTAGGAACCAGTTTAGAAGGGCCATAGCAGTATCCTCGAATAAGGACAGGGAAGAAAAGAGCGTTACAAAAATGTGGAATCTCCCTTCTAGCAACAGGTACCCTGAAAACGTGCTTAGGAGAACTCTAAAGGGAAGCGAAAGCTGCGGGCACTAAACGGGGTTCTACAAAAGAGGATGTAGATGGCTTCTTGACTCTACCATATGTGGACGAGAAATTATTGAGCCGGGTGAAAGGTGTGGTGCGCAGGTCGGGAATGAACATCCGACTTGCTTGGCGAAACAAAAACAAACTGAAAAACGCGCTAGTCAAGTCAGCCTTCTCACCTCCTCTCTGTCCGGGTGCCAGTCGCGGGTGCTACTGCTGTAAGTGTGGCTTAGCAGGGAGATGCACGACCAAAAATGTGGTTACGAGTGAGCGAGCGCAGCGAGCGAAGCGAAGTCTTTTCAATATAACGGAAAAATCTCAGTATGAGCGGCCCGGCCCGGCCCGGCCTGTAACGCTTTTGAGAGGCTTATAT